GCCCGAGAAAGCTCATACCCCTGCTCCCCACTCCCCCCACCAACAAAAGCAGCCCAAATACCTCTGCCAGTCCACTGGGCAGAGCTAGCCATCTGCTCCTGACCAGCTCAGGGCCGTGGTTTTAGAGGAAGGGGGAGAGGACATTAGAGCTGGTATCTTTATAAGCATGACCCTACCTCTCACCCATCCACCCTCCTCCACCCTTTCCTTTCATCCTGACTTCAAAAGTGAGCTAGAAGAATCCATACAGGGGAGCCTCTTCACTCAGCAAATATTGAAAGAGACCTGTGCCAGGTCTGATGCCGGGTGCTGGAGATGAAGAGACAAATCATGCATGGTCTCACCTCCAAGGAGCTCATGTTTCAGTGGAGAAGCCGACAAGGAGACAAATATTAGACAGCACAGAATGAAAAGGGCCACAATAAAGGGAGCGTGGGGGCCTGTGGGGACACAAAGGAGACAGCTGACCCCAGAGAGTCAGGACAGTTTCTTCATGTGAGGACAAGTTCACCAAATGAAGGGAAGGTGTGAGTGGAGGATGGGTAGACTGTCCCATGCAAAAGAAATAGCTGGTGAAAAACGAGGTTATAAAAAAAGAACAAGGCCTGGAACAGGAAGAAGGATAGTACAATTGCAAAGAGAATGAAGGAAGACTGTTGAGAAATGAGACGAGCGATCAGCAAGGCCATCTCAGGCCTCAGAGTGTGGCCCCTTCCCCATGGTGGGCAGAGACACCCACTGCCTCAGGGATAACACTGTCCTGGGTGGCAAGGGGCATTGTCCTGCCCTACCTGTCACTACCTATCACTGTTCATGGGCTTTGTGTTTCTGGAGAGACTCCCTTCCTCTCTGGGCCTCAGTTTCCCCATATGGAGATGTAGACACTAACCCAGATAATCCCCAAGGTCCTGGCCAGCCTGGACATTCTGTAGCCTCATAATCTCTGCCTTGGTGACCATAGCTGTTCACTGGTTCTTCCTGACCACTCTGGACATGGAGTGCCTGGCCTTTTCCTAGGAAAAGTCTGGAAGTGGGGTACTCCTCTCTTCCCCTCTTCAGTCCATTACAGCCAGGCTGCTGCCTCCACCTTTCTCCCAACAGAGTTCTCACCAAAGTCATCATGACCTCCATGTTGCTAAATCCAGTCAGCACATTCAGAATTTTTCTTGCTTGACCTCTCAGCTGCATTGGACTTGGCTAACCACTTCCTCCTCCCCGAATACCCTTTTGCTTTAGCCTCTGAAACACCACTCTCTCCTAGTGTTCCTCCTATCTCCCTGACCAGTCTCAGTCTCTCCCTTGTTTTCCCTTTCTTTCTTTCTCAAGGCCTTAATGAAAAGTCCCTTCATCATTCTGCTCCTCAGGACCCTAGGTCTGTGGGCTATATCCGGGCTCTGAATCCAGGGCCCCACCACCACCCCTAAGATCCACAGCCAGCTCTCACTGGTCTTTCCTTTCCATCCTCACTATCCTAGCTGTCCAGGTACCTCCTTTCCCTGGGCCAAGGAGAAGCACACTTTGGGGTCTTTCAAAAACCAAGAAGCTTCCCTACAGGGTAGAGCATGATCCCCAAGCTCTGTCCGGCCTTTGCCCTCCTAGTTACAATTGGAGTTTCCCCGAGGACAGGGGAAGTCAAGATCACCTCAGAGCCTGTTGGGATGAACACAGCTCACCCCAAAGAAGCCAGAGTTATCTGTAGGCCCCTTGAGTCCCTATAGACACAGCTCTTTTCATAAGTACTAATCACCTTCTAACTTATGTAATCAGCATATTTAATGTGTGTGTATTTACTATCTCCCCTACTAGCATTTAAGCACCACAAGAACAGAGATCTTTCTTTTGTTCACTGCTAGATCCCCAGTACCTAGAACAATGCTGTTGTTGTTAGTTGCCATATGTCGGCTCCGTCTCATGGCAACCTTAGGTATAACAGAAAAAAAGTTGTCCAGTCCTGCGCCATCTTCATGATTGTTGGTGTGTTTGAGTCCATTGTTGCAGCTACTGTGTCAATCAATCTAATTGAGGGTTTTCCTCGTTTTTGTTGGCCTTCTACTTTCCATGCTATTGGTCTTTCCTAATGACATGCCAAGAGTGAGTCAAAGTCTCATCATCCTTGTTTCTAAGGAATATTCTGGTTGTATTCTTCTAGGACTGATTTGTTCATTCTTTTTGTAGTCGACGGTATATTGAATATTCTTCGCCAACATCACAGTTTGAACACATTTAATTATCTGGTGCTCAGTAAACATTTGTTAAACGAATGAAAGAAAGAAGGATTGGCATTCTGTCGGAAGTGCCTGCCAGACCTACTGAGATCTCTGAATATCAAACTGTCCACTTGCAGTAGGCTCCCCAGAACCCCAAGCCCTGCCTCCGAACTGCTTTTTAATTCCTGAGCCTCCAGGGAAGCCCTCCCAAGGGATACGATGCCTGCTCCAGAACCTCCACTCATGACTCCCAAAGCCTTCAGCCTTGGCCCCTGAGCCTCACCTGAAAATTGTGGGGCCCTTCACTCCTCAAGATCCAGGCCTAAGAGCTGTAGCCTCCACTGAGTGACTGGGGAGTCTGGGACCCTTCTCTGTGTGACCTTAATCTGGCTGAACTTATGATAAAAGCAGCTGTCCCAGCCATGGAAGTTGAGCCCAACACAAAGAAGGTGATATCACTGGGGCTGCCCAGAGATAAAAGCATGAGTGCATGATGCTGAGGAGAGGCCCCTCTGTGAGATTGGGCCGCAAAGGGAAGAGGATGGAAACCCCAACGGGGAAGCCTCTCCCCTCCCAATCAGTCCCAGACTCAGGGTTAAAAAAAACAAACAAAAAAACACAGTTCATTAAGTCCATTCCGACTCATAGCAACCCCATGTGCTCCACAGGGTTTTCAATGGTTGATTTTTTGGAAGTAGATCACCGAGCCTTTCTTCCAAATTGTCTCTGGGTGGACTCGAACAGCTAACCTTTCAGTTAACAGCTGAGTATGTTAACCATTTGCACCACCAAGGGACTCCTTGGCTTCAGGGTGTTGCTATTGTTGTTAGCTACCATAGACATCCCCAACTCATGGTAACTCTGTGCACAGTGGAATGAAGCACTGTCATCCCCGTGAGCAGTTGTGGATCGGGCTGTTGTGATCCATTGGCTGGTTTTTAGAAGTAGATTGCCAGGCCTTTCTTTATAGTCTGTCTTAGTCTAGAAGCTCTACTGAAACCTGTTCAGCATCATAGCAACACTCAAGCCTCCATTAACAGAGGCTGCACTTGAGGTGCATTGGCTGGGAATTGAACCTCGGTCTCTCGCATGGAAGGCGAGGCTTCTACCACTGAACTACCAATGCACCCTGGGGTCCCCCCCATTTCAGGGGTGACAGGTTCTTGCTATGCTTTTCTTTTAATCACCCAACTCTCAGGCCTAGGGGTGCAAAATGCAAGCAGAGTCCAGGCCCCTTTGTAAAACTTTTATTTAGAAATCTTCCCGATATATCCTCATATATATATATATACACACACATATCATCACCACATGGGTTTGTTTGCTAACGAGTCACAAGCCCACAGTGCTGGCCTCTGGGCTGTACATAGGTCAAGGTACCTGGAGTGATTACTCCTCTTCTGCGAAGAAATGCAGAGACCAACGCAATTCATCACATACAGTACAACACTGACGGAAAGTGCTGGGCCCGCCCACAGAAACACTGCACTATGGACATGGGCAGGGGGCAAGCCTTCGCCTTCGGCAGGGGGCCACGTACCATTGAAATCACAAGTACGACTAGACCCACCCCCAAAAGGCCAAAACAGTTGTCAGCTGACTATAGATGCTGTGCCCTTTGTTTTATTTTTGGAAGAGGATAAAGGTTGTACCATCTTGTCATTTTCAACTACAAATAAAAGAATATGAATTTTTCTTAAAAGGTGTGATTCCCTCCAGTCGTTACATTCATCTTTGTTCTCAGAATGTTCCATAGTGCAACATTCTTTTTCTTTTTTTCTCCTCAAAATTTTATTAACTTTATATATTTTGTGTAGATATTGTTCTTGGAATGTCGCCACTTCTTCAAGGGGTAAGGAGGAGGCAGAGGGAAGACAAGGGTCTGGGGGTGGTGAGTAGAAATGAAAATAAAATTGTGTATCTTTTTTAGTTCTTACAAAAACCTGGGACTTGCTCTGTTCTATGCCAGGACCGTTTTGTGTAGTTGCAGTATATTTTGCATTCTGACCATGTTCCCAGACCTCTTTTCCACTCTCACTGTTGTCCCTTGCCTTGGAATGAGACAGAAATGAAGACAATCTGGGGAAACGAGGACAATCAAGATAATTCAGGGAAAAGTGGTTTCGAACCTAGATTACCCGAATGCTGTGCAATCAAGCAGACTACACCACTGCTCAGGTCCCGGACTCAGTTTGGGAAACTCCACCACAGGACTGATATCGAGGGCAACATAGCTCTTTCCAGCCTCAAATCCCTTTTACTTTCATGATCCCATTCAAACCACAGCCCTAAGAAACAAGCCAGGCCAGGGTATGATGAGACTGACGCTTAGACAACTTATCAACGTCACTTCGCAAATCTGGGAGAAGAGGAAACTGGAAGCTTGAGTGCCTGATAGAATGTGTAATCCATCTGGGAAAAGCCACACACCCATCCACACTGTGGCAACTTTTCACTCCCAAATTACATTAATCCATTGGGAGGTAAGCATAGTCTCAGCACTTAGGACAGTTGCTCCATCTTTAGACAGATGGGATTTCTCAAAGGCCCTTCCAAGCACTGAAAAGGAACCAATGCTAATGTTCATCAAACTATGGTTTCGGGTGGCTGAAGTGGGATGGAGAGTTAGAGTACCACAAGGGTTGACCACATTGCTCTGATCCCCAAGAACTGGACCACACAACCTAAAAGCAGGAGGAGAGGAGCAGGGATCATTTCCCTGACTGGACTGGATATGGCCGGACTCGAGGGCCCATCGTGACCAGAGAAAGCCACTGTGCTGAAACTGAAGACGTGTGAGGGGCTTTCCCGAGAGCCAGAGTGATGGGTTCTTGAACAAAAGGGCAGGGCCATACAATCATTTTCCTCTGACCTCAAAGGCAGGACCTGGTGGGAGAGGGCTGGGGGAGACTTGAGGGTACAATAACAGGTATCTAGGGCTTTCGTGCAGTTGGTTCCATGGACTTGGAATGCAAGCTACAGGCAGGCCTAGCCTTATGAAGACCACATTTTACCATCTGGATTGACACAGGAGATAAACGAGGGGGTAGTGATCCACTCTACAAAAGGATTCTTCATTTTACAAAAGGACTTGCTGTTGCATCTCTTTAAAAGATGAAGGGTAAAGATGTGATTTACAAAAACTTTCATGTACAACTTTTTTGGGGGGGCCCTCCTATTGCATGAAGCCAACCTTGCATATACACCCTTGATGACTGAAAGCTGCACTGTCAAGCGATGTTAAAGATTCGACCAAGTGAATATACACGTGTTTGGGTCTCAGCCAGGGCCTCGTATCTGATTGGACTCCACAAGCCCTAGAAGTGGGGCTGTACCCTGGGTCATATCGAGACCTAAAGATCCCAACAATAACTAAAGTTAAACAAAAATCCAAATTCAAGGAATTAATAGGACAGAGTCTGTGCTCAATTCAGGACATAGACCAGACCACAAGCAAACAGACATCCTGCAGCAGGGTGGTCCCTCTAAGCATCTAGGAGAATGCCCAGACACGGCTACATCTACTCAGCACCACCGTATGCCATCAGCACCCTGGCACATGCCCACCAGCACGAACAGTGACGTGTAGCCGAGAATACAGGCACGTCACTCTGAGACGCCAGCTGGATTTGAAGCCCATATGCCCAAAATATCTTTTGCTCCATTTCACTCTATCATTTTTCCCAGAGCCCTTCCTCTGCCTTCACATAAAGCCCAAGAGGGCACACTCACGGCTGCAGACTCAGTCCCCACAGCCACAAGGATCAGGAAGGCAAGTCTCAGTGGGGACGAAGCAGAGCTTTGATCCCCAGGGCAAGGAGTAAGGGCTACTGGACTCTCTGTCCCTCTGTCCCAGCTAGCCAAGAGCAGGCTGTCCACTGGCCGTCTTCCTCAACCAGGCCCTGAGGAAGGCACCTGAAGTCTTGGGACTGTCTGCAGCAGCTGGCAAGCTAGATGGCTCAGCATAAGCCTGGGTGAAGATGGGGCTTAAGAAATGGACAGCTATTGGGTACCTATGTACTGGATAGAAGTGGCCACACAAGCCACCCCAGCCAGCATGGGAAGGGCTGAAGACAAGGCAGAGGCTGGTGGATGCCTCAGGGGAGAGCTGACAACCCCAGGTCTCAACAAAGACAGGGTTCCCAAACTCCAGGCCGAAAGCAGTGACACTTGAGCCTCTTACTTGGAAAGTCTTAGGGATTTGGGGAAAGGGAAGACCGTGCCGTCTTCATAAAAAGTACCTACCACTTTGCTCCATTTTTTGTTCTCCTATAGGGGCAGTAAACAGAAAAGCCAGCCCCAGGGTCAGTTAGGGCTTCCCAAAGTTCAGACATCAAGGAAAGGTCATCAAGTCCATTGCCCACTTCAGAGCTGCCCAAGGCTTGCACCACCTGCCCTGAAGCCCACCATCCCGGTGGCCTAAGGGCACCCTCCTAGCTGGTCCCTTGGGTGGCCCCAGACCCATCACCGAGGGCCAGCTCCATCAGTGGCGGGCAGCATGGCAGGATGGAGGTTGCGGGCTGTGTGCTTGGATGCTGGCTCCTCTGTGTAGCTGTCTGGGCTGGCTGCCCCATCCAGGGAGCTGCCACAACTGGAGTTGGGGGAAAGCACGTCCTGCAGGAGGTCGTCTGGGGGCACACCACCCCCACCGCCACCCCCACCAGCCCCAACCACTGGGTCTTTGCCAGGCTTGGCCCGCTGGGTGCCCTCCTCCTCCTGATCATTGAGCAACTTGGCCAGGAAGTTGATGTACTTCATAGCCAGGCGGAGGATCTCATTCTTGCTGAGCTTCTTGTCTGGGGGATGCGTGGGGATCAGCTTGCGGAGCTCAGCGAAGGCCCCGTTCACATTCTGCTGCCGCCACCGCTCCCGGCTGTTGGTGAAGATGCGCCGAACGACTTTGGTGTGGGGACCTAGGGGGACGAGTAGGAGGACAAGGGTTAGGAGAATGGGCTGGGGATCCCCCAAAGGGAATCTGCAGGAAAAAAGAAAAACCATCCTCTGGGGAACTTGGGAAACCTAGAATGCCTTTTTCCCTTTTACTTAAAAAATTCTTACTCACCCTTCAGAATCCAGTTTCTATGTTTCCTCCTCTCTGAGGACTTCCCTCAACCCCTGCAGACAGATCTAACCAACCACCATGGTCCTACAGTCTCTTTATCTCCACCACTCTAGATTATGACTTTATGTTTCTCCTCCTCTTGACTGTAAGACATTTGAGGGCAGGGATCCTGTTATTCATTCATTCATTTACTTACTTGTGCCAAAGGCCACATAGCATACTAGTTAAGAAGACAGGATCTGGAGCTGGATTTCCTGGGTTCAATTCCTATTACTCACTAGCTGAGTGACTATGGTCAAGTCACTTAAACTTTCTGTGCCTTAGCTCCAACGTCAGTAAAATGGGGATAACACTAGTAACTCAAGTCATAAGGCTGTTATATGGATCTAATAACTAACAACAAGTAAAATGCTTAAGGCAATATCTGTCTCAGATTAAACACTCAATAAATGTCAGCTATTATTATTCATCAGTAGACGTTTACTAAAAACTAGGCCCTGTGGCTGGCACTAAAGATGAATACAAATGAACAAAATAGACACAGGCCCTGCCCTCATGCAGGTTACATCTTAAGGGGATGATAGATGGGGTAATCTGTTTAATGAGGAGGAACATGTATCAAGCAATACAAAAACAAACAAGGGGCCGAAGTGGTAACTAAAGGATAGAAAGGAGCCACTACGTTTAGCTAAGGTTGGTGGAAAGGCCTTTCTGAGGAGGTAACATTTAGAAGAACTTAAGGTTGAAGAAGAACCAGTCATGCAGAGGAAGGGAAAACAGTAGAGCATCTGCGCAAAGGCTCTGAGCTGGAAAATGGCTGAAGCCAACCAAGCTAGACTTTCTCTCTCCTACACACACACACACACACACACACACACACACACACACACTTGGAAACCATGTTTTCCCAGCGAGGATCACCGGCTAAACTAGTGTGCACAAGATCCAAGAAGGCAGGGCTCAGATTCCATAAGGCCCTGCAGTAAAATGTGGAGATTTTATTCTAAGGGTGACAAAAAGCATACAGGAGGAGCTTAGTCAATGTCTGTTGACTGACTTATTTGCAGTGAAAGGTAGGGACTGGAGGGGAAGGCAGAAACCAGAGTGGAAGGGATCCACCCCGCCCCCACCCTTCCCGTGGACTCTTTCCTCAAGGAGAGGAGTAAAGAGATAGTCACGCACAGACGTGCACAGCTGTGGCCTGAAGCTCTAGGCGGGTTTCCGAGGGCCGCCCAGTCTCCCCTTTCTACAATGCACTGACTACAGATAGGACCGATATTCACTAGCGTTCTGTGTACTAAGGCGGTAGAGCAATGGCCGACACCAACACACATGTATCGAGCACCTGCAGTGTGCAGAGCACTGTACCTGACCCGGGATTCCCAAAGCCAGGGGAAGACAGAGGAGGGCTCTGCTAGTGCTCCTGAGCTCCTGGGCTGAGGTGACGCTTCCCTCCCCAACACCGAGGCCCAGGGCCAGGCTCACGGCAGTCCTCAGGAAGCTTGGTGCACTGAGTGCACTGCCAGTCCTGGGATATTTATTTGCTGTCTTTCAGGAACCCTGGAACCAGACCTCAGAATGTGGAAACTTGGGTAGAGGAGAAGGGGAGGGCTAAGACATGATCTAAGTCCCCCCGCTTGCTTTACAGTTAAGAAGACTGAGGCTAGGACAGAGGCAGACTTTGCCTCAGTGGTCAGTCCTGTGACCCAGCTGATCCGTACCGACACTTCTTGCTTGATCATCTCTCTTTCTCTCTCCTACACGTTCTACTCTGTCACACGGGATTGCTATGAGTCGGAATCGACCCAACAACAACAACACATTCACACACACACACACACACACACACTCACACACACACACACACATAGAAACCATGTTTTCCCAGGAAGTGTCACGTTTCCCCTGCCCACAGTGCCTCTGAAGCTGTCTTTCCAATCCCACCAGGCCCCAGCCCAGTCAACGCTTTGCCAGAGGCCAGACTCAGGCCAGGAAAACACAGCATACCTGCTGGCCAGTCCTACCCTGGGCTGCCTCAGAGGAAACAACTTGCTGTTCTCTGGCCTCCAGGCCAGATGGAGAGAATCCTTCAGCTAGGATACAGTGAGGACCAGTCCCCGTACCCTAACTCAGCTACTGCTGGTGGTCTTGAGGGAAGTCCCTGGATGGGTGGGGGAGGGGCGCTATGACAGCTAAAGCTAGACAGACTCCAGAAGGGGAGGGGGTAAGGGAGGTCAGGACTCAGACCAATGAATGCTATGGAGATGGTCCAAGACTCAGTTGTGTGATCTTGAGCAGGCTGCTTAACCTCTCTGAGCCTCAGTTTCCTCATCTATAAAATGGAAACAATAATATTATTTATCTCCTGGGCTTGTGGTGAGAATTAACTAAAAATCAAGCACACGATATCCACGGTGCATAAAACCAAAAAAAAAAAACAAAACCCACTGCTGTTGAGTCAATTCTGACTCATAGCGACCCTAAAGGACAGGGTAGAACTGCCCCATAGGGTTTCCAAGGAACACCTGGTGGATTTGAACTGCTGACCTTTTGGTTAGCAGCTGTAGCTCTTAACCACTGTGCCACCATGGTGCATAGTAGGTGTTTAATAAATGGTAGCAATGATTGTTAGCAACTGCTTCCTTGCCCCCACCCCACCCTTTGAACAATTGCTTGTGGACCTCTCTGTGGCCAGCTCTGTGCTGGGGACTAAGAGTAGAGTCGTAAGAAAGACAAGATCCCTCGTGTTAAGGAGTTTCCAGTCTCTGGTGGAAAGGGACTTACTGTCACCAAAACCCTTCCACAGCTTCCTGACAAGCAAGGGAAGGGGATGGGAGGAGGTGAGCACTCACGTTTCCTCAGCATCTTCCCTGAGCCAGGCCCTAAAAACACTTTACCTGCTTGTACCCTCTTAACAATCGGGGAGGAAGCTAATATCCTCCCCATTTTACAAATGAGGAAACTGAGGCCCAAAAAGCTCAGCGATAGGAATCCACATCAAATCCTAACTATAAATCTCGCATCAGTTCCACTTTCCTGGACTCTTTTTGGTTCAGTCTCTAATTTCAAAGTCCAGTGGGCACATCCCACTACCCTACACCCTCCCTGTCACCCACATTTCAGCCTATTCCTCTCTAGCTCCCTCCCAGAGAACTACACCTCCCTACACCTTTCTCTCTCCTAAGTCTGTCCGTCCCTATGGCATCCTCTGTCTCCCTGGCCAGGCACTAAGTAGGTGCTCAGTAAATACTTGAAACATTTATGGGTAATTGTTTCCGGATACTCTAGCACTCCCCCCAAATTCTCTCCCCCTCACCTCCTCCCACCACACACACACACACACACACACACACACACACACACACACACGTGGGGGCACACATACACACAGTGACTGATTTTCCAACTCCTCTGACCTTGTAGAAAATGCCTCCTCCCCGGGGAACTTCAGAGCTGCTCCTGCCCATATCCTGTTTGGCTACACCCATCTCTCCTAGACTGGTGGACTTCTCTCTAAACTAGCGGCACTGACACCCCCATCATCCTTCCCTCTTGGCTCTACACGCTGTCAGCCAGGTCGGTTGGGTCTTTTGGAAATCTGTGCTATTGTCCAGACCCCAGCCCCCTCTTCTCCAGAGCACCACAGAAGGCTCTCCTCCAAAAGCCCACACTCAGTACACACTTGATACATGTCCCCCACCACCACCTCCCGCCAGCTCCTTGTGTAAGTCTCAGCCTGGCTCAAGGCTTCAGGCTGCCCTTCCTACAGCAGCCCCAAGCCCCAGCCAGGCTGAAGCCCTGAGAGCTCCAAGGATTTGCTCAAAGTCCCTCAGCTCTGAAGAGCCTGCTCTCCTGCCCCCTGGTGCTGGGACCCATCTACTACATCAAGTCACAGGAAGTAGGGGACGGGGCGCTGGGCGGGGGGGGGGGGTGTTCCTCCAAATTTCCCACTCATCCAAACTCTAGCCCCAAGTTCAGGGCCAAAGAGTATTCAGGCGGCCCACCATAGCAGTGCTGAGCCCCTCACCTTCCCCACAGGGAAGCTAAGGGGAAGGTAGAATTTGTGATGTCAGGAAGCGAACTCCATGTCTCCGCCCAGAGTGTGGAACAGGGAATGAGAGAGCCCCACAGCGGAGGAATCTGAGAGATCTGTAAAGGTACAATTCCAGGCAGGGAGCAGACCCCAGACTCCAAAGAGGACCGGAGAAATACTTGGGAGGAGTAGGAAATCCCTGAGGGTCAGTGAGTAGAGTCGGGGGACACCATATGTTTTTACCACCACCCCCCATCCTTGTCAAAGTGTAGGAATGGAGCCCAGAGTTGGGACTAGAACTGATGCCAGAGGTTTGGGTTAAGCCTTACTGTATGCCTCTCCCTCACGTCCCCTCCTCCCAGGGCTGCGAGTGTGGCTCTTCAGTCCCATCCATGACGTCCCCTGATCCCAGCTCAGTTGCAGCGTGAGGGGCTTTGCAGCGTGGGGTTCCAAGGTGACCCACCCATCTGTGAGACATCTACAGAATAGCTCTCCCTCAGAGGGCTCTAGCCAGCATGAGGGGTAGGTCCCCAAGTGAGGGTGGGGTAGACTCACCATCAGTAATCTCCACCTCATAGGGAGAAGGTCTCCTCTTCACACGGTTGTTGGTGGAGAACATTGGGAAGGCATCAGGCTCCCCAAAGAACCCACTGTGGGAGGGACCAGGTCAGATCACAAGACCACATGTAGAGTGGAGGAGAGAAAGAGGTTCTTCAGTGATCCTCCCCACATGAATGCCCTCCCCAGAAAAACAAGGGCCACCCTGGTCCCTTAACACTTGAATTTGGGGATAGCAGAAGCATTACACACACTCACACACACACCACATGGGATGCTCCCATCCTCTCTCTATAGTGAGACAAGCAAAGGCAGAAGGGTCACATACCTATGCACCCTCCACATACAAAAGCAGAGGTGAACACATGAAGCAAACACAAAAATAATCACACACACACATACACCACGGACAGACACACCTCTCCCCCAGACACAAGCACACATTCCACACAGAAGGCTCCACCCCCAAAGAAGGGCACACATAGATGTGGCCTTCACACCCTGATAGTGTGCAACTGCAGCCCACAAAGGGCACACTGCCCCACCCCCGGCCCCTTCACCATGGCCCCATGGGGCCCATGGGCAGACAACTGGCAGGAAACCCTGACTCACCACTGCTGACTTGCACCCCCAGCCGCTCTCTGCCATCATCCACTCTGCTCTCTATGGCTTCTTTCTCAGGGTCTCTCCCTGATTCTCTAGCTGTCCCCACTATCTCCCTCTCTGCCTCATTTTTCTGTCCCGCCTCCCAAACCTGCCTCAGTCTCTCCACCATCCTAGCCGCCCCAGCTGGGAAATGGATGCCCTCACACAAATGGCAAAAAAGAGGCCGGACCTGAGGCCTCAGCTAAGGGCAGAAAGGGGCGCAGGAGAGCAAGAGGACCAGATCCACCCCTAGACAGGGACCTCCAGCAGAGTAGAGGAGGGTGTTCTCTTGCAAGCACCCTCAGATCCTTATCTCTTACCTGTCTACAGATGCTGCAGCTTCCAGAACACTTTCACATCCATCGGCAGCAAATGTCCACTTCTACCCACACCAGAGCACATTGAGACACACTGGTGCCTGGGACTCACACTCACAGACTCCCTCCTATCTCCGCCACCAGCACACAGCACACTATTCATCCACTCACTCACAGGCACATGCCTGCACACCCTCACCTCGGCTTACACACCCGCCACACCACACAGTCACAGAGCATCCCCACATCTGCCGCACACACACTCTCTCACACACGGGCCTCCAGCTTTCGAGGCTTTACAAAGCCCTTGGGTTTAAAAGAACCTCCTCCCTTTCTGTGCTCCACCCGCACAACCCCACTGGGAGGAGGACAGTGGGCTCCCGAAGTGCCCAGGGAAGACCCGGTGCCCGTGGCTGCTCTGACCTGCCGAGCGAGGCGAGCGGCTGGCTGAGGCTGTAGAGCAGCGCGCGGCTCGGGGCGGCGGGGGCCGCCAGCGCGGGCGGGCTCAGCTGCACCATGCGGCCGTCTCCGGGCAGCT